TCGCTGCCCAGGTGGGTCTCGAACCCGCGGGCTCAGGCAATCCACTCACCTTAGCCTCCCAAAGGCACGGGATTACAGGCTGAGCCACCGAGCCCGGCTAAGGCTTTCTTAAAATTGTGACAATTAACTTTAAAATTATTTGATTTTGTAAAATGCAGTACAAGTACAACTTTTCCTAGAGAAAATTATTTGTTCAAAGGAAATCCTGTTTGTATTTTACTATCCCTTACATTTGGGCAGCATTTAAAATATTTCTAATATCCCTTTGTATCAACTGGATGCAGGTACAATTATTTCTATGAACCCATTATTTTGAGAGGGGTAGAGAGCTTCTATAATAATGTAACTAGGATTTTTAATATAAGGTAAAGCAAATTATATTTATCTATAAAATAACTGCATACCAAATGTTTTCTTTATCTTTTAAAGAAGACAAGTGATAAATGACCAGAAAATTATTCTTGCAGAATAGTTGAATAATTGAAGCATATAGCAGATATTAAAGTATTACTAGATGCAATTGTAAATAAAGTTACGATAAGTATACGTAAATGAAATACTACCAATACAGCACTAAACAGCTATATAATCATATATAGACACTCATTTAGGTCTCAATTTCATTATACAAAGACTTCAATTTCTAGCTGGAAACAACTGAAATAGTGGACAAGTATAAAAAGCCTTTTGAAATAGTTTGCTGGGTTGGCATGAATAAAGGGAATATTCAGACTCCTAAGTAAAGGAGGAGCTTAGAATTTCAGAAGGTTAGGGAGCACACCAAACAGGCCCTGAGGGTCTCTTCTAAAGCCCTTAAGACCTTGAGCATCTTGGTGGGAACAGGTGTGAGATTAATGGGTGACCCTACATAAAGCTGGGATACTTCAAAAGGCTCTACTATCATGTATAAGGAGAAAAAATAAGCTTGATGTACAGAAGAAGACAGCAAAGAAACTTGTCTACTTCAACCTTGACCCTGGATGGATGGGGAAAACATTTTCCCTGTCGTTATTTTTAAACACACGCAGATCCCACACAAGTTTTGGTACATATTCACATTATCAGCAATGTGGTTTGAGAAATAACAAGCAGTGTTTAATGTTAAGTTCTGACTGGTTATTGGATAATGACGCTAGAGAACTGGCAGACCGCAAATGGGCAGATCCTCTGTGGAGGGATGTATCATCAATCCATGTCTGAGATAATTCCCATAAGTAAATAAGTATTTCATAGCAAAAAAAAAAAAAAAATTAAAGTCACAAATTATGCAAGAAAATAAAGCAACATGAATGAGAACCAACAGGAACAACAGGGAGCAGAAGATGGTCTTCAAAGACATTGAAATGGTCAGATTCAGAATATAAAAAATGACCACATACATTTGAAAACAAACAGAACTTCTAGGAAGTAAAATATAATCATTTAAATAAAAATTATGTGGATAAATTAAATTACACATCAGACAAACTGACAATAGATTCTGAAGATAAATAAGCTGCACTCTAGAAAAACAAAGATTTGAAAACACAAAAGAAAAAGATGGAGAACTTAGAATTCTGGATAGAAATAAAAGATAATGGAAAAGAGGTCATACTTGTATAAATACTGGGTGGCTATTTCTCAGAATTATGAAAGATATCAATTCTCAGATCCAGGAAGTTCAATGAATCTCAGCAGAATTAAAAAAAAACAACAAAAAAACCACTCACAGACATATCATAGACAACACTTGAAGGGAGGAGAAAAAGTCCCTCACAATTAGGTAGAAAAAATGCATCACCTACAAAGAAACAGTTGTTAGATTGAAGGTCTATCTTTCAACAGTAACAATGGATGCCAGAAGCTGGAACCATCAATGTGTCAAAAGAAATTATCTGTCAGTACAGAATTCTATATTCAGTAAAATATCTTTAAAAAATGAGAGCAAATTATAGACATTTTCAAACCGCCAAAACTGAGAGTTTACATCTAGCAGACTTCACTGAAGGAAATTTTAAAGCATATATATACAATAGGCAGAACTAAAATGATCCAAAATGGATTATTTGGATTGTAAGGTAGGATGGTAAACAACAATATTAGTAAAGATCTGGTAAATCTTGTTGGTTGTATAGGGTCAGGCATGGTGGTTCATGCCTGTAATCCCAGTCCTTTGGGAGGCCAAGAAGAGAAGATTGCTTGAGATCAAGAGTTCAAGACCAGCTTGGGTCACATAGTGAGGCCTAGTCTCTACAAAAAATAAAGTAAAAAAAAAAATTATCTGGGCATAGTGGTGCATGCCTGTAGTCCTTGCTACTTGGAAGACAGATGTGGGAAGATCTCCTGAGCCCAGGAGTTTGAGGCTGCAGTGATCTATGACCATTGCACTGCACTCCAGTCTAGATGACAAAGTGAGACCAGACCCTGTCACTAAACAACAACAACAACAATAATAATACAAGAAATTTAAAAATTGGAAGTATAATACAAAGTGACAATAATGTCCAATTTATAGTAGAAAGTGACAAGACAACAGCGTACAAATTTGGGTGGCAGCAATCAGCATTCTGAACTCTATATGTTAAGAAAAAACAAAATTCCTGCTTTGTTTTTTTGCTGAGGATTGTTTTGGCTGTTCATGGTCATTTATGTTTCCATATTAATTCCTGTATTGTTGCAGCATTATTCACAATTGCAATATATGGAACTAACTGTGTTGCCTAACGAAAGAGGACTGGATTAAAAAAATGTGGTACATATACATGATGAAATATTACACAGCCATAAAGAAGGACAAAATTA